AAACTTTTTTCGACATTTTGCGTTTTTTACGAGATAATCGCAAAAAACCATGATTTTATAGTGTTTTTTATGGTTTTCACCATGATAATCAAGTTTGCGCCAATTTTCACTATGATTTTCGTAATCAGCGCACAAAAGTACGTAAGTATACTGAATTTCATTAAAATCCAAGGGGGGCCTTATTTGGAACTGCACCCAAAAAAATACTAAACATAATTCGATTTGAGTGTCAATAGATATACTAAGGGTTTCGAAATCGCTGAATCCGAATTTGAGGTCAGATTTAAAAAATTCAAAAATATAATACACCGCTCCGAAAAATGTATTTTCAAAAAACGCTTTATCTCCGTCATTTTTGAATATTTTTTAATTTTTTAAAAAAAAATTTTAAAGATAAATACATGTATTTTTGTCCGCATTTTTGGTGTCAAAAATGTTTAGATTTTCAAAAATGAGAAAATATTAAAAAGTTGAATTTTTAATAGTTTTTTCAAAATTTATTTTTGAAATACCGTCTAATTTTCAGGCGTTCAGGATTGCTTAACCACTTAAATTCTCTAATTCTCGAAAGCGACAATATTGTTTTTAGTTTTCACATTTTCTGTGTGGTACAAAGTATTATTTTTCTTTTTTTATTAAACTAATGTAATAAAGAGAGAAAAAGAAATAGGAAAAAAAACAGGTCGACAATTTGGTTCTTAGAAAAGTGTGCAGGGTGAAGTGCAACTTAAGATGGGATCAAGAAAATTAATGGTTGTATCGTGGTAAAATGTCTAACAGAAGCTCGACTTTATAAAGTAGCGTATTCTGCATTTTAAATGAGAATTGCATTTTTCCCTCTCGGCGAGGAAAATTTTACAAAGTATAAAAATCTCTACACAGTGATGTACGGACGATTGTATTGCTGTCTGGAAATTAAAAGAAATGTTTAATATAGAAGAACAGTTAAATTAATTATTCACGCTTGTCCCAAAGGAAAAGAAGAGCAACTGATTTTGTAATTATTTCTGGATTTTTTAAATTCTTATACAAATAGTAATAATCTATCAATAATAATAATATTTATAATGATAATAATAATAATATATTGCTAACAAGTTTGAGATTTTCTCATTTTTGAAAATCCAAACATTTTTGGCACCAAAAATGCGGACAAAAATTCACAAAATTAGGCTAAGCTAATAAAAATTGCTAATTAGGGTTATTGATTATTATTAATCTAATGTCATATTGATAACACAGGCCAACAGAATTAGCAAACTTTTTTGGTGCGGCTAATGTCTGACCTGTTTCTGATAGGTTTTTTCATGCCGAACACGAAACCGTAAACGAAAATTTCCTATCAGCTCTAGTTTTTGAGAAAAACAGGTTTAAAATGTTCAAAAATCGCTTTTTTGGCTAACTTTGAGTACCTCTAACACTGAAACAAAAGGTCGTAGAACCTTCCACTTGGGTTTAATTTGAAGCTTAATGTTTCAACTATTATCCCCAAAAATGACCTATCTTGCACCATAACCTCAAAGTCATTTGTTATCCATTTTTGATTCCGAAATATTAATTTTGTAAAAGTTTGAGCGCGTACATCTACTCCTTGAGGTTAAGGTGCAGCAATGTAATTTTTATGAACTACAGTCAAAGGATAAATTAAATTGATGAAGCTCAACAAGTAGGTTCACTCACCTTTGGTTTTACTGAGAGTTTTTCAAATATTACCAAATAAGTTCTGTAGTTAAATACTGGTTACCAACAATTTTGAGGTTATTAGTGAATAATATAATTTTTAGGGCTTGTAGTCCAAAGTTCAAACTTTATTTTAAGTTCAAATAAAAGGTTCTATGAACCTTTTTTCTTTGCTAGAGGTACGCGCTCAAACTTTTACAAAATTAATATTTGCGAATCAAAAATGATAACAAATGACTTTGAGATTATGGTGCAACATAGGTCATTTTTGGGGATAATAGTTGAAACATTAAGCCTCAATTTAAGCCCAAGTGAAAGGTTCTACGACCTTTTGTTTCAGTGCTCGAGGTACTCAAAGTTAGCCAAAAACGCGATTTTTGAACATTTAAAACCCGCTTTTCTCAAAAACTAAAGCTGATAGGAACTTTTCGTTTACGGATTTGTGTTCGGCATAAAAAAAATAAATTAAATTAATAAATTTTGTCAATCTGATGTCTGATTCATAATCAGCAACTCCAAAAACCTCAGAATAGTGATTTTCAAAATGAATTCTATGAAATAACAAAATTTCGCCATACTGGATCCGCCATTTTGAATTTTCAAAAACTAACCTTTGATTTAAACTGGAGCTTCTCCATAAATCTCCAACTGCAAAGAATGATGGAAATTGTAGTACTTTAAAAAAGTCGAACTTTAAAGGATTTAAGAATTTTTATAAAACTTTGTAATACGGAAAATTTTGTAACGTGAAAAAAGGTTTAAAAAACTATTTATCAATGAAAAAAAAAAGTTTTTAAATTTCTATAAAATTTCTTTTTATCTAGTATTTTTTTTTTGTTTTTTTTTTTGTAAAAAATTGAAAAATAGAACACTTTAATAGAAATTTTGAGTAAAAAAAATCTTATATGACATATTAATAAAGATTTTTATTAAAAATTTCTACTAAAAAGTGATTTTGCGATATAAACATTTATATATAAAAAATTTTCTAATCAAAAAACTCTTTTTCAGTTTGGTCGTTTGTATACATTTAGTGTCAAATCATCATATCTAAAATGCGACCATCAAAGTGGAATTTCTTCCCTCAACTTTTAATACATATTCCTCGCGCGAAATCGATATACATGTAAATATTATCAGCAACTTTATTTTCATATATGCGTACAAATATCTTTTACTCGCTTTAAAAAGTTTTGAAAATTCAGGAAGAAATGGAATTTTGTTGACATTTTCAAAATTTAATGTTCAATTTAAAAAAAAAAATTACATCACCTTTTTTTTAAATAAGAAATATTAAAAAATTATAAATTTCTGAAATATTTTTTTAAGAAAAGTGATAGTTAAAAACAAAATACTTTTAATAATATAAATTTTTATGAAAAAAAAAAATTTGATTCAAATACTTGATTACTTGACGATTATCAAATAAATATTTACTTGAACCAAACAATTTTTATTTGAATTAAATAAATTGTACTTATTTGAACCAATAATTTTTGTATTTGAAACAAATACCATATACTTGATGCAAATAATAATTATTTGATACAAATAAATATTTATTTAATAATAATCAAGTAACTGATTATTTGAATCAAATAAATTTTTTTCAGTGTGGATGATTCGACATTAAATTTACCCATGACATTTTAAATTCGGATAAACATTTTTTTTCGGCCTTTGCAGAAAAAAGTAGTATTGGGAATTGACATAAATCGTACGGCAACTGGTGGCAAAAAATGACACTACTTCTGTACCCCAATTCTTTTAAAGTTAGCAGTGCCAAATGTAAATTTATTTAATTTTCGAAAAATGGAAGGTGTAAAACTAGCAGATTGTTCTAAAACTTCTTACAGGGATAATTGTTCAGTTCCTGGGTGTAACAGTAATGCAAAAAAAGACTTATTAATATCTTTACACAGATTCCCAAAGCCGAACTAGTGCTTGGTGAAAGTAACAAATTTTTTTGGCAATTATATGCATTGAAGAAAATTATTTACTATTATAATTTCAACTTGAGATATTTTAACTACAGAGAAATAAATAAAAAAAAACAATTGTTAGTCAAATTGGTATTTTTCTATTTTATCTTAATATGTAATTTATATATTAATTAAATATTATCTTTGTAATGTAAACAACATGTGAAAGCATTTTAGGTTAAAATTTACCTTGAACAATAGAAAAGAACAGCAATTATGTGTTTGCACTTTTCCGATAAACCTGCCATGCAGGAACACTTGAGAAAAACAATTTCACCATTAACTTTAATAATTTCATTAACAACGCGATTTCCTTCAATCACATTCCTGTGGGAAGAAGTAGTATTCGCCCAAGCAAAAATATCTTTCATTTTAATTAGCATTTTTTTAAAAAATCTGACATTACACATATATATTGCACTATTTTGGGGTACATATGTCGCCATATTGGATTAAGCCACGCCTTCATGTCAATTCCCAATACTTTTTTTTTATTTTTTTTTATAAGTGCCCAAATTATAGTTATGAATTTTTAAAAATCTGTGTTTTTCGAAGTTTTTTAAAAGTAGATCTAATTTCAAGGACATCTTATTCTAAAAGTTTATTTTTACATACCTAGGAATACTAACAACAAAGAATATTTTGTAAAATTAGTGTCGCCGAATCCAAATTTGAGGTTAAGTTGAAAAAATTCAAAATGGTGGACCTAATATGGCGACTCAATATGGCATAAAATTTTAAAACTGATTCGATTCAAAATTTGGTACTCGGGGGTTTTGGATTGCTATATATATAAATTTGAGGTTAAATTTAAAAAGTTAAAAATGGCGAACCAATATGGCGGAAAATTTAAAATTGTCCACGTTCGTGACTCCGGGTTCGGCAAAGAACGAAATTAAAAAGTTTTACTTTTGAATAAATTTAAAATACCAAGTTTCAAGCGAATTTGGCAAATTTTTAAAAATTTTTGGTGGGCCTGCTGGATCAGACATTTTGAATTTTTCAAAAACTACCTAAAATTTAGATTCAGCGACTCCAAAAATCCCCGAGTACCGTAATTTGAACGAATCGAATCACAATTTTAAATTTTTTCGCCATTTTGGGTCTGTCATTTTCAATTTTCTAAATCTGACCTTAAATTTGGATTCAGCGACCCCGAAAAACCCTTGAGTACCGAATTTTGAACGTATAAAATTAATTTTAAATTTATTTCGCTATATTGGGTCCGCCATTTTGAATTTTTTAAATTTGACATCAAATTCTGATTCAGCGACTGCAAAAACCTTAATATACCCATTGACACTCAAATTAAATTATGTTTTGTATTTTTTTTCTAAGGTGGACATGTCTAAACTCACAAAGGTGGTACGACTATTTTCTGGGCATATATGGGCCATGGACTGTCAAGTGGTGAAAATTATTTATACTAGGAAGATCATCAGGCCCACTCTAAAATTTTTTGCAAAATATTCTTAGTAATTACAGGTATGTAAAATTTTTTTTAAAAAAAAGTAAAAAACATCGTGCCTAAAGTGAAGGAGGAATCGGACAGACAGTTTTAACAAAAATTAGTCCAAATGTATTATATCGATTTTTGAAATAAAAAACATATATTTCAGTGTAATTTTTGTCAGACAAAGTGTGCAGAATTATATTTTGAACAAAATGAGTAATTGATAATTGTAATTTGATGAAAATTAAAAAATATTGACATTTCGAAACGATTTTATAATTTGAGTTCAAACAGACAATCGTTTCGAAATTTTAATTTTTTTAAATTTTCATCCAATTTCAATTTTCATTGACTCATTTTGTTTAAAATATAATTCTGCACACTTCGTCTGAAAAAAGTTACACTAAAATATGTATTTTCTATTTCAAAAATCGAAATAATGTATTTGAACTAACTTTTTTTCATACTGTCTGTTCGATTCCTTCTTAAAAAAATGATTATTTTTTATATAAAGATTCAAAAAAATTTTTTTCGTATTTCAAAAGTCCATGAAAAACTAAATTTTTTTTCTTTTTTGGCAAAAATTCCTCTATTTATTAGAGGAATGTATCCATGAGTGGACCACCTTTTTATTTACTCAAATAATTTTTTTCAGTGAAGGAAATTTAAAAATTATAATACACCGTTGGATAGGTATTGTCCTCAGCTTTAATTATATATATGGGGCATTCTATGGGAAATTTTTATTGAAAATTTTTTTTTGTCCGAAACATTTTTTTTTTCAAAATCTATATGAAAAATAAGGAAATACGTATTTTTTTATTTTTTTATTTGATGAAAATGAAGGAAGTTATGATTTTTTGAAATTTAATGTCAACGAAGAAAGTGTGTTTTTGGAACATTTTATAATCTATAGTACTAATAAATTAAAAATTATGCTTTATATGAAATTTGTTCATTTTTACTCAAATTTTTCAAATTTATGCTCAAAAATAACGTACCTATAACAGAAGCAACAAAAAAGTTGAAACTAAATTTATAAAGTGAGTTTTCTCAAAAGAGACACTTTCGACTTTTAATTTTTTTTTTGCATTACAATCTCTGATGACTGAAGAATTTTTTCCCCTATCTGCGAAAGTGGTATTTTTAGTTTTTAAATTACTATTTATAATTTTTTTAGTACGGCTCACAGAATTTAAGCATTTTTTCTACAAATATAACCTTTTTCCATTAACATTCATTTGTTTTTTTTTTAATTTTCATAAAAACATACTAAAAATCGTTGCGACAAGCTTAAAAATTGTAAATAGTAATTTAAAAACTAAAAGTACCACTTTCGCAGATAGGGGAAAAAATTCTTCAGTCATCAGAGATTGTAATGCAAAAAAAATTAAAAATCGAAAGTGTCTCTTTTGAGAAAACTCACTTTATAAGTTTAATTTCAACTTTTTTGTTGCTTCTGTTATAGGTACGTTATTTTTGAGCACATATTTGAAAAATTTGAGAAAAAATGAACAAATTTCATATATAGCATAATTTTTAATTTCTTAGTACAATAGATTAAAAAATGTTCCAAAAACACACTTTCTTCGTTGACGTTAAATTTCAAAAAATCATAACTTCCTTCATTTTCATCAAATAAAAAAATAAAAAAACCACCTGCTGAAATCGCTTAAAAATGATTACACAGAAAATTAAAAGGCATTAAAATAAGCTGCAACGCTCATTATTTTAAACCAATTTTGCTTATTTTAATTCATTTTGGTATTAAAATAAGCAAAATTGGATTAAAATAATAAGCGTTGCAGCTTATTTTAATGCCTTTTAATTTTCTGTGTAACAATCAAATAAACATTGAAGGATTTCAATGCTTATAGAATATTTATTTATTATAAACACTTAGAATATTCAAACAAACAAAAATATTAGTGCATTTCAATTAATTTCAGTGTTACAAATGTTCCAAATGAAATACCTTTTTTTCTATTTAATTTACTGGTCATTGTAAACCACGAATCAAAATCAATTTCAATTGCCTTTTTTTCTTCGGCAGATTTCTTTTTTATCGCTTTTAATGACATTTTAAAAATTTGTAAACGTAAAATGTCAGATTTACCACAGTGGTGTGAATTTAGTATCATTTTTGGATACATAAACAATCGACGATTTATACAAGGTCCATTCATGGATACAAAAGGTGGTCTACTCATGGAAATCTAAGCTAAAATTAATTTGCTTAAAAATTAGTACTCAGGGGTTTCTGGGGTCGCTGATTACGAATCCGATATTAATTTTTCAAAATTTAAAATGGCGAATCCAATATGGCGAACGATATTTTAAAAAATTGCTTGGATTTGCTTAAAAATTAGTACTAAGGAGTTTTTGGGGTAGCTAATTACAAAATCGATGTTAGTTTCTCAAAATTCAAAATGGCGGATCTAATATGGCGGACAATGTTTTAAAAAATTGCTTGAGTTTGCTTAAAAATTAGTACTCAGGGGTTTTAGGGGTCGCTGATTATACGAATCCGAAGTGAGAATTCCAAAATTCAAATTAGCGGATCCAATATGGCGGATGAATTATGACAAAATAATTGTTTTTTTTTGGGAAAAATATTGGATTTTTGTGCAAATGGGTATCTTAGGGTTTTTGGGGTGGCTGATCAGCAATTTTTAATTTTTCAAAATTTTAAGAATCTGACTTTAGATTTGTAATCAGTGACCTGAAAAATCACCAGAAGCCCATTTTTTTTTTAAAGAAAATATAATAATTTTTCAAAAAATCTTCCTCCATTTTAAATATTCAAAATTTTAAAAATATGACATCAGATTCGTAATCAGCGATCCCAAAAACTCTAAGAAGACAAATTTTTAAGGAAAATACAAATATTTGAATTTTGAAAAACTACCGTCGAATTCGTAATCAGCGATCCCAAAAACCCCTTGGATATTAATTTTCAGCAAAAAAATTTTTCTGTACATTTTGGGCACTTTTTCGTCGAATTCTTTTTGCCAACGAAGGGGTTAAACACAAAAATGCGTCTATTTACTTGGATATCAAACTAAAAATGTTTTTATACGGTGTTATTTATTAGTTAAAAACTGATAGTTTACTCTCTTAATTTGAATCAGTGAAATAGCTAGAAGTCGGTTACTAAATGAATCAGTAAATCTGTATTATCGGTAATGGGTAAAACAGATTGACTGATTCATTTAGTGAAATTTTCACTGGAAATCAGTGATATATGACTGATTTTCAGTGAAAATTTCACTAAATGATTCAGTAACCGACTTCTAGCTATTTCACTGATTCAAATTAAGAGAGTAATATTTCGCATTTGGTTTCATAAAAATCGGAAAGGTGTCCCACTCATGGAAACATTCCCCTACTTTTAGAGTTAGGGGCCGTCCATATACCACGTGGACAGTTTTGGGGGAGGGGGGGGGGGTGTTCGTCAAAACTCCACGATTGTCCATGAGGGGGGGGTCAAAGCAAATGTCCACGTGGACCCAGTAAAAATGAAATTTTATTTATTATTTTTTATCCCTCCTTTAAATTTCGCGCTAGTGTATTATGTAGCGCTGCACAGTGGCCGATTTCTCGAAAAACCTGGCCAAAAATCGAAAAATGATATGATTTCAACAAAAATTGGTATACCCATGTTTTTTGGGCTTCTGAATTCAAATTTTACATTGGTTGTGTCAAATTCAAAATGGCGGATCCAAAATGGCCGTTTAGATTTTAAAAAATTTTGCTGAAAATCGAAAAATGATACGATTTCAACCAAAATTAGTATACCCATGTTTTTTGGGCTTCTGAATTCAAATTTTACATTGGTTGTGTCAAATTCAAAATGGCGGATCCAAAATGGCCGTTTAGATTTTAAAAAACTTTGCTGAAAATCGAAAAATGATACGATTTCAATCAAAATTGGTATATCCATGTTTTTTGGGCTTCTGAATTCAAATTTTACATTGGTTGTGTCAAATTCAAAATGGCGGATACAAAATATTTGCTGGTATTATAAAATTGCGTAAATGTGTTAGAGCTTATTTTTTTTAAATTATAGACAGTGCTTAAATTTTAGTTTAAAGCGAATGCGAATGAAGAAAAAGTCAGTCTTTCACGTTCAGTTGCACCGCCGGCCGGTGCAACGCGCTGTCGGTAAACCGCGCTTAGTGAAATAAAAAGTGATACCAAAACTGCAGGGGCAGCTTGGGGCAACTGATTTCAATTAAAATGAATTAAAAATATATTCTAGTTTATGATAATACCAGGTAGAGCGCGGATATCGGTGGATTTCACAACTATTTTCATGATTTACGTTGATAAAACAATACAAAAATCGTCGCCATGAATAGCGATGTTTAATGTCATTTTTTAAAAACTGTACGTTTTAAATGTGATTATAAATACATTCAACATATTTCATACACCTTTGTTAATAATTCACAAAAAAAGATATTCAAAAATCTGCTGTATATTAATCATAAAGCATATAATTAAATATATTTTATAAATTGCATTTGATTGGAAAATATAATTTAATATCTTAAGTTTAACTAAATGATGTTAAGCACTTTTCTTTGTTAGGTATTTTTGAAGTTTAAATAGCATCAAGAAGTTAGCATTCGTTTTGAAGTAGCGTGCGTAGCGTAGTTGGTAAAGCGTTAGACTAATAGTCCGTAGGTCGTAGGTTCGATTCCCCCCATGCGTTAGATTTATTTATTTCTCAGGTTTGCGTTTAATCATTAATTCTATGTATGAATTAATTGAAAAATGAAAATATCCGTTAATAGTATGCATAAATTAAATATTTTTTAATTTTTTAATTAATTAATTTATTATTACTTTTAATTATATCCGACAGTTAATTAATTAGAACGTTAATTAATAAATTCAATTTGAGTAAGAATTTAATTTAAAATTGAATAATTATTAAATAAATATGTTATTTATTCATAACTTAAGCTTATTTATTATTAATTAACTTTTATTATTAATATTATTGATTAAAAAACATTATGGCAAA